CCCCCCCCCCCCCCCCCCCCCGGCCAGAGGTGAGAGCAGAATAAACTGTTGTGGCACCGCAGTGGTACAGAAATCTTCCCGGACTGCAACAGCAATGCAGTGTGAAAAGATGGCTTTATACTGTAGCGCCGTATATCAAATCATGCGGAGACAGAGGGAAGCATTTGTTTTCAAAATAATGAGCATGGTTTATGACAAAAATGTAAATAGCTCGCAGATAATTGAGTTTGAGTTAGATCAAGGCAGCTTCAATTTAAAATCATATCTCCATCCTTTCATTTGGCAATCCCAGGAGAGAAAGCAGCATTGTGGTAACTTTATTAAATGTTTGTTTTGAAGGACAAAGTTGCAGGGGAAAACTGGTGAATACGTTTCTCCTTCAGTATAAAAACAAAGATAGAGTGTGGGAATGCATTTATGATGCTTTTGCATCATAGGTGCACAACATTTGCTTGCTTTACAATTGCTTCACGAAATTACTAGAAAAACAAAGAGTGAGAGTGCGTCAATGTCCCCTGTCACTGAGGGATTTGAGGAGTGAATGTTTGTAGTTTTAGAGATGAATGTTTTTCATATACTGGAATTGAACAGTGAATGCAAGTACATTTTTGGAATGTAACCCCTGGGATAATCAAGGGACTACAGTAATGTTGTATTTTTTAAATAGAATCTATTATTTGCTATTTTAACTTATTGTATTTGTAAAATAATACAGAACATTTAAACATGTAATGCCAAACGCAGCTCTTTTCTAGTTTTTTTTTTTAGTTCAACATATTCAAGTGTGTAGGAGTTACACTGTGGACCAGAATTAAATTAGTTTTTTTTGCTTGTCCGAGGCAGCTCAGAGTGATGGTTCCTGGTGAGTAGAGGGAACAATTTTATCCACCACCGGATGCAATAGTGGAGCTAGGGGGTGGCCAATGAGGGCCTTGGCCATCATAGATTACTCTTCGGTTACCCCATTCATTTGAGGAAACTACATTTAAGCAAAATTAAAACTACAAAGCATAGTTTCGTCAAATGATGGGGGTGGCCAGTTTACATGTTTATATGGTGAGGGCCATCTTGGATTTTGACGTGGCAACCCAATTTTTGATTGTGGCCATCAAACATAGATGTAGCCACACTCTAAACTGGAAGCCAGTACCTCACTTATTTTAAAAGGGATAGTGCTCACATTATGCACCGATGGATGGACGGAGTGAATTTCCAATTCCCCCTTTTTGTTTTGCGACGGGGAACAAATAAGAGTTTGAAGTAAAATCTGTTAATGAAAATTACCTGAAGACTTCCATTTTGTACATTTGAGCTGCATGCTTAAATTGCTTCTAGCTGTGTAAGAGTTATGGTCCAGGTATTATTCAGCACAAGAAACAAGTTGCTCTCATCACAATTCTGCCAAACGAGATTCACCTAGAAATCTTGTTGCACCATATTTCAGCGAAGTGGCTTTAAAGGTTTTCTAGGTGTCTGTAGTAGAAACTCAGCATTCCTCTATCTCCAAACACACCTGGATTCAAACTCAGCTCTCTGTATAACACACACAGCCACCTGTGCTCAGTGCTATGATGTTATAGCTGGTTCCACTGCAGAAAACAAGCAATTCCACGGTGCAAACCAAGCTGCTGAGCATCCACTGAGAACTGAGCGTATTCTGTTTTCAGGCAGGTTACAAACCTACTGCAGGTTTACACAGAGATTTATCCTGTAAAGTTACTAGACCATGCATCTAAAAGTATGACAACTTTTTTTTTTCAACATTCCAGTCATTTTTATCTGGCATGTTGCTCAAATACTTACAACAAAACTTAGACATATTCCTTTTTAAATAGCAGTTTATTTTTATTAATATATTTTTGGGTATTTATATTTTGGGATTTAGAGACATTTATAAGCACAGCTAGTTGAAAAAAATAACTGTTTATTGCATCATTATCTAGAAACAAATAAGTAGTACGCCAGTGTCCCCATCACCGATTTGAACAGTGAATTTGTAGTTTGTGAGGTTTGTTTTTCTGGACTGGAACTAAACTGATAATGGAAGTAAACCTTTATGTTTTGGTGCAAAATCTTCAAGTGGGTAGGAGAGAAATTGTGCAGAACAAAGGTAGTTTTTTAAATTTAATTTATTTTTTGCTTATCTGAGGCAGCACAGAGTGATGGATCCTGGTGAGTAGAGGGAGACATGTTATCCACCACCAGGTGCAATGGTGGAGCCAGGGGGTGACCAATCATGGCCAGTGAAAGGTCAATATTGAAAATTATGTTGCTGCATGTAAATCGGACACATCTATCATTTGAGGAAACTATGCTTCGTAGTTTTTAAATTACTTAAAAGCATAGTTTCCTCAAATGACTGAGGGGGGCAGTTTACATATATATGTTGCGGTGGCCATGTTGGGTTTTTGATTTGGCAGTCTAATTTTCAATAGTGACCTTTGTTTCACCTAGATGTAGCCACACACCAAACACGAAGTTGGCACGCTGTTGATTTTTAAAGTTATCCAGCTCACGAGATGCATGGAGGTATTTCCAATTCCCCTCTTCCTTCCACGATGAGGAACAAAAACAAAGTTGTGAAAATACAACAAAAATCTGTGTGATCATTTGGGGGCCTTGTCCAAGTCTTACCATATCTCATAAACTTACTGACAGAGATGGACCCCATTCATTTTCACTGTGAATATGGTGATTAAAAAAAAAAAACCAACCTCCCCCATAAAAATAAATAAAATAAAATAAAACAACAACAACAAATGCAGTAAAATAAGGAGATAAAGCTTTTAAACAGCCACAGCGTTCATCAGAAGCTCTTGTGACGCGTGACGTCAGCCTTCGTCAGAGCTGAAGAGTTGTGTCAGTTCAACCTGGCATCATATTCTGCATGACGACTTTAAAAAAAATCACAAAACCTTATTTTCCCTCACAATGAAGTTGTTTACCTGATGAAAGCCAGGGAAATGACATAGTCAGAGTGAACTGTAATGAGCCAGTCGCAGTCTTTGCTGTGCGGGTAGGGGTGTGGGTAGTTGGGAGATAGGATGAATCCAGACGACCCAGTGACATTCCCTCCACATGGAGCTTTAGAGATTAAAAAAGAAAAGACAAAAATTGAGGAAGATGCAATGATCAGAAAAGGTTTTGAAGCATGCTTATCCTGCTGCAAAGTCTTTAGCTCAGCTCAATTTAGTTTGACAGGAAAACATGAGCACATGTAGGTTGTTTAAGAAAAATGACTGAAATTTATAACCTTAGCCAAAATGTTTCAGGATCAGCTGTCAGGTCTGCAGTGAAATTAAACAAAAACAGAGGGCCCTGAAGGCTAACCCATTTTACATCTGCAGTAAGCTAACATGCAATTTATTTTAGACTTCAGTAAACAAACACACAGCATGCTACCCAAAGACATGATCAAATGTAAAAAAAAAAAAGAAAAACAACGAGATTTTAGCAAAATGACAAAGTTTTGGCAATTGGGATGTGCTAAGCTTGCTTGTATTTGGATCATGACATCTGTACTGTGATCAATGTAATGCATTTAATGATTAAATATAAAATGATTATTATTTTTGCACTAATTTTATCAATTATTTTTTGTCAAGGTCGCCTATATTTTTTTTAACCAATCATGCAGTCATTTAATGTTCAAGTAGTTTTAGCTACACATAAATACTCAACTTTGTTATATTCAAGGCTTTTTTTGTCTATTTTAATGTATCAATCTAACAGATCTCTTCCTCAAATTAATTTATTTCAATCAATAGTGAAAACTCAAGTCTTTCACACATAATCATTTTGTTTTGCTGTGAGGAAAAAGGTTTGAGAGTGACTGACTTAATGTAATAAATTTTAATCGCACTTTTAAGCATCTAGCTGTAAATCTTTACTAAAACATGATAGAGACTGTAGGCCTGAGTGTCGAAGCAACAGAAGTGGATTTATCCACATACGAGCTGGAACTGGGCCAGACAAATCTAAAGAGTCACCAGCAAGAAGGATTCTCATATCTGCTGCAGCCAGTAAGAAAACTCACTTCGCCCCTCTTCTCACCATTTCTCATCCCTTGCATTCCTCTCTCTCCCTCCTTCAGTCCATCTGGCCCTCTCTATCACTTCCACACATCCACCCTTCTCTCTCCAGGTTATCTCCCTCTTCCTCACCGATGCAACTTGGAGGGCTGGGCTGCCAGTAGTATCTGTTTTCCACTTGAATGCAGGTGATCTTGCTCTCTCCCTGCAACTCGTAACCCGGATCACAAGAGAAGGTCACGGAGTCGCCGGGCTCCCGCCCCTCTCCGTTGCGACTGCCGTTCATGGGGATACCTGGATCTCTGCAGGCTGTTGCAAGAGAACCTGAAGGGCAAACAAATGTGCACGTGACTCAAATATAGCAGCAGATGTGCATGTGGATCCTCTGGCAGGACATCAGTGAAACCAAGGGAGAACACATGCACGCAGTGTTATATCTCATGGCGGACAGCTGTTAAGTTGAAAATGTAACTAACTCTGAACAAATTACAGACTGATGTCAGCCAGACCACAGCTGTGCTGCCGCTCAACAATTTCAAAGCAATCTGCTAAAAAACTAATGGTTTCTTAAAAGGTCCATCTTTATAAATTATTTTTACCCAATGCGTTTTGTGTTGTTTCCATTTTGTTTTTAAAATACTAATTTATTTAGTAATGCAATAATAAAAGCCGTCAAAAGGTACACAGGAGTGAGATAAAACAAACTGTTGAAAAAAGGCAGGAGCAATGTGAAGCAGGACGTCTGAACAAAAGACTCCAAAAATGGCATGGCTGAAGAAATGAGGGCAAAGCTTTACCTGAAGGAAACACTAAGAGACTTAAAGACAAGCTGAAAGAAAAACCTGACAAGGAGTGACTGAAACCCCTGAACTGTATGTAGGAAGGTGGAGCATCTGTGGCCTGTCAACATTCATTCAAACTTTATTTATACAGCTTAATCTCATTGAGCCTCGGGGACTCACTTACAAGAGAGGCCTGATTTTAACAAAGAGTGATGACAACAGAAGACAACAAAGGCAACAATAGACAATCATAAAGGATGTGTACATTTTTTTTTTAACAAGTGAAAATAAAACGGTATTTAAAAGGAAATGTAACAAAAAATAGGTTGTAAGGCAGTGTAGAAAACTACAAACAGGAACGTGTGTGCATTGTTTTTTTCCCAGGAACTTAACAATTGTTTGAAGCCACTTAGAGAGGTCAAGGACCAGAGCTTCAAATCTTTTTGTAAGATATTCCAGGAAACAGGAGCGGAGTAGGAGAAGGCCTTTTTGCCAAGTTCAGTCTGCACTGAGGGAACACTGCAGGTAATAATGTCCTGAGAGCGTAAGCTGTAGCTGCACTCACGCAGAGACATGTAGGAGGAGATGTATGAAGGCAACAGACCAAGAAGTGATTTAAAGATGAAAATGTACCAGTGAGAGAGTCTGCGTGAAGTTAATGATGACCAGTTAACCAGTGAATACAGGGTGCAGTGATGGGTACGATAATCACAGCCAGTTATGAATCTTAGTGCACCATGATAGACAGCATCCAACATCTGCAGGGTTCTTGTAGGAGCGTTCATGTAAATAATGTCACCGTAATCAATGGAGGGAAGGAAAGTCACAGATACAAGGCGTTTCCTAGCGTTCAGAGTTAGACAGGATCTGTTTCTGAAAAAGAAACCCAGTTCAACTTTCAGTTTCTTTACTAGGTTTTCCAGGTGGAGCTTAAAAGAGAGATGCAAATTGACCAAGATACCCAAATATTTGTAGGAATTGACTAACTCAATAGTGACACCACTCGAGGATAAAATCAAAAGAAGAACTGCTGGGATCTGTTTGAAAAAAGCATCCCTTTGATTTGGTCAACTATCTAAATACATATATTTAAGTTTATTTATTCATCCAGCACATATAAAAACAAAACGGTTCATCCCTCAGTCGCAGCACAGTGTAGTACAATACAATAAAGCCAACAACAACAACAAAAAAAAACAGTTATGTCGTTTAACTCAATGTTTCCCTTTCCATTATACAAGGAGAGCGCCCCACCCGGTCAACAGAACCGAGGGTCCTGTCGACCGAAATCCACCGCCGCACGCTCTGTTAACAGCCGGGGAGCAGAGATTGTTGCCAAGGACCGGTCGCCACAGGATAAGTGGCTTCAGCCTAACATTAGTAACATAGCACTCAGCTAAATCATCCCACCCCCGCCGGAGAACCACAGACATTAGTGACTGACAGTCATGTAACGCTCCGCTCTCCTCTTCACCCCATCCGACAGGCACCCTGCCAAGGCCAGTAATGGAGGAGAACCACTGTGATTACACTAATTATTTACTACCAAATTAAAATGACTGCTCCCACAAAAACTAACTCTGTTTTGAAGATTTTTCTCAAGAAATATTTGTCACAGAGTGAGACAACATGGTGGTGTGTCACCAGCAAGGCTAAACATTCTTTAATTGGTGTCTGTTTCTGTTTAAGTGCAGGTTTAATGCTATTCTAATGCAATGCAATTAGAGGCAATCCTAAACACTATAGGTGTTGCTACTGAAAGATAACTTCTTCACAGCAAGAATGGCAGCAGAAAGACACTGACAGGAACAATATTATTTAACCACAGAACTGCATTTGCTCGTGGCTGCTCTCCTTATTGATTTCCACTGAACACATCTGTGAATTGGTCCAAAATGGTTAAATTCACATTCCTGATTGTGACGCCTCTGCATCTTTACTGGCCAAACTGTGGTACTGCAGCAGTTCAGAGCTGCTGGCTGGACCTGTGAGGGTGTGAAGCTTAGAAGTTTAACCCGAGGAGGATCACCACCGAGGTTTCTGGCACTTTGCCAGGCTGCTTTGTGGAACCAGGATCGCTCATGGGTCGCTGAGGCGTTCTAACTTTATTTGGTGGTTTTTAAATAATTAAAAAAAGTTAAACTCTTAATTTTGTGTTCAGTCTTAAATTTGTAACAAAGTGACAAATTGAAAAGATTTCTTAGAAAACTTGGAAAAAATTAATAACATGTAAATAACTTTGACAAAATGATTAAAAAAAAATTCTAAGATACAGACAGAACATCCTCAATTGTTTTTCACACTGTGGTTTTACAGCAAAGCATTGTGGGTAGCAGACGTAAGAGAATTTCCTCTCTAACCTACATGTTTATTAAATTTGAAACATCGATTCTAAAGATAATTTGTTTTCTTTTCTTTTGCACCTACAGTTGTTGAAATTCTATTTAACTAAGTCGGTGAATCTGTGTGACAAGTTTTATCCATCCATCCATCCATTCACCATCCATGCCTCCATCAGTCCATCCATCCATAATCCTTCTGTCTGTCAGTCCATCCGTGCAGCCATCATTCATCTGTCCATTTGTCCATCCATCCATCCATCCATCCATCCATCCATCCATCCATAATCCTTCTGTCTGTCAGTCCATCCATGCAGCCATCATTCATCTGTCCATCCATCCATCCATAATCCTTCTGTCTGTCAGTCCATCCATGCAGCCATCATTCATCTGTCCATTTGTCCATCCATCCATCCATCCATCCATCCATCCATCCATCCATCCATCCATCCATCCATAATCCTTCTGTCTGTCAGTCCATCTGTGCAGCCATCATTCATCTGTCCATTTGTCCATCCATCCATCCATCCATCCATCCATCCATCCATCCATCCATCCGTCCGCCATCCATCCATCCATCCATCCACCAATCCGTCCATCCATCTGTTCATTCACACGCCCATCCATCCATCCATCCATCTGTCCATTTATCCATCCATCCATCCAGCTGTCTATCCATCTGTTCATTCACACGCCCGCCCGCCCATCCATCCATCCATCCATCCATCCATCCATCCATCCATCCATCATCCATCCATCCATCTGTCCATTTATCCATCCATCCATCCAGCTGTCTATCCATCTGTTCATTCACACACCCATCCATCCATTCATCCATCTGTCCATCCATCCTTAATTCATCTGTTCATCCATCCAAACATCTGTCCGTCCGTCCGTCCATCTATCCATCCATCCATCCATCCATCCATCCATCCATCCATCCATCCATCACATGAGCACGAGAGCACGAGAGCACGAGAGCACGAGAGCACGAAAGCAGAAAGGGAAGAAGGGCCAGAGGAGTTACATTCTAAGAAGTGTGGAGGAGAAGAAGGGGGCGACCTTACTCTAAGACATATTTTATCAATAATGACACTATGCTCTGAGACATAAACTAAATTTCAAGCTCTTTGAAAATTCAGTAAGTTTTTCTCTAAATGTTCTTAGTCATGAAAAATCCGTAAGACTTGACATGTATGACAGTGAAATGAGGTGTATACTACATTTAGTAAAACAAAAAACAGTCGTGTCAACCAGTTTTACACAACTGTCAACAAGGAAGAGGGCTGGCAATGGAAGAGGGGGCGTACCAAAGACACCATCTTAGCACCAACATAACTGGTTTGTTCCACTTTGGAGTAAGCTGTTGGGGGAACAATCAGTTGCGTTGTGTGTTTCCTTGACTGATGAAGCCTTCCGGATCGAAGGCGAAACGTTTCAGCACAAAAAAAGAAACTGTCCAGATGACATGACTGAAAAATGTTGGATTGTATACCTGGATTATTGAGCATGGACTTTGTTGCAGGAAGAAAAAAGTTTTTGTCCGTCAGTGTAGGCAGTGAAATTGTCGCTCACCTCCTGTTATTGAGAAGATTGAGAGGATCTTTTTGGAAAACTCTTCCATAAAAGGCAGTGGGTGAAATGTCTCCTTTAAGGAAAGCTAGGTTTTATATCTACTGTTTTAAATTTGGGTATTCTTCTTCTTTGTTCAGCTGCTCCCTTCTTCATGGGTCGCCACAGTTATCTTATACCGTATGCCCTTCCTGACTCAACCACAGACCGCCGAGCTACCACAGCCATCTGTGTGAAGCAGAGAGCTGCTAGGGCACCCAGGGGAGCAGATGGTGGGGGTTAAGGGCCTTGCTCAAGGGCCAGGGACAGATTGATGTATTTATAAAAAGGAAACAAAAACTCTGGACTAAACCTGCTTTCGAGCAGATGAAAAGTTCAGCATGCACTACCATGATGATCTAGTCAGTTTCAAGTTGATATACTTTTATGATACAGAGAACCTTGACTTTCAGCTCTACAAAGCCTTAAACTGACTTCACCATCCATCCATCAGGAAACAGATAAACAACAACAAAGACACAGCACAAAACAACAGCTGAATAACAAACAAGCGTGAATTCACCAATTTAAAACCAGAAAAGAAGAGCAAGTTATTACAAACTTCAAAAAAAAAAAAAGGCAATCCAAGACACTTTTCACACAGAGCAAATATTTTGATTGTCATTTAAAAATTCATGAATGATGTTTAGCATCCGTGAAACAAGAGGTAATGCTGAATAATAAACACTGCAGTAAAGACCCTCAAAATAAAAGACGAGCCAGTGACAAGCGAATGCACGTCCTGCAGAAACTGAATTCCCATGGAGACATCATCTTGTGTTGCATTTGCACTGACACATTAAATCTAAGCTCCACATTAAAATGACCGTAGCGCCTTCTCAATGAACGTCTTTACTGTCTGCACAACTCCGCTTTTAATTTTAAACACCAGCACCTTGGGCAAACAGGAGAGCAGGGATCTGCAAACTCAACCACAGAGTCTTTGACATTAGACATCTAAAGCACATCCAAACATTTCTTCTTCTACTTGGTGTGCATAGTGCTCCATTTCCCCTCTAGATGCTTCAGTTTTTTAAATCCTCATTAATGAAACATATAAACTGCAGCTGTATCTGAACAAAAAAATGGCAAAAATCTAAAATACTTTGATTTTTTCAAAATATATAAACATATCAGGAAATAAAGCTAGACTGATAAATGCTTCAGTGCTGACTTTCACACACATATATATATATATATATATATATATATATATATATATATATATGTGAT